GGAAAGCTACTCAAATTTGACATTCATATATTTACATTTATAATGACATGTATACCTTTGGCCACTGTTCCTTCATCCTGCATTTCTAAGGCTCTGGAAGTATTTGATAATTGAATATATACTGCTACTTTTTTATCTAAACTTTTCTATCTACTGTGTTCAAATGGGAATCGATCTGAGAACCTATTTTAGATTTGTCAGTGTGGGCAGAACATAAATAGGAAAGTCAGAAGAAATTGTATATTGTTATAAATTGATAAGTGATGTTCTTTGTTTCTACTGCAAATGTAATTGCCAGTTGATTTAACAGAGAATTTATAGGCAATGACAGTAACATGTAGGTTTAATATTTAATTTGACAAGAAACTGCTTTCAATGCAGTATGCAAAGTAGGAGAAATAATATTTTATTTTGGTTGGTTTTAGCACTTCTAGCTAAGCAAAACTAGGGTGTTTACAGCAATGAATTCAGATCACTCAAACTTAGTTTAGGGACAGTCCTCTAAGGCATGGGTTATAGTTTGCACTTACTGGTTTGGATTCTCCTGAAGACCTCGGCCAAAGCTGGAATAATTCAGAAGGGATCACAAGCAATATGATAGGTCAAAGCCTAGGGACTGAATAGCTATATTTTGAACAATAACGTGATTTGTTGCTGCTGGCATGGTGCAAGATGCCACTTGAGAAGTCCTTGTGTATTAAAGCTAACTGTAAAGGATTTCTGGACATGAAGTGGACTTGAGAAGGGGTAAGGAGAGCTAGACATAGTGAGAAGGCAAGTGGCTTTAACCCTCTTGCACCTTGGCTTAAGAATGTTCAGGGAAAATTTGCACTGAATTAATATTGGTACAGTAGCAAAAGATGACAGAGAGCTGCACGTTGGCCATGCTGAATGAGAGTTCAGTAGCCTGTGAGGTGGGCAAGAGCAGATGTCTAGAAAGTGTGAAGATTTCATCCCTCTGTAGATCCAAAAGGTTTCCTAATACATTGTAAATGACTGGGTTTTAGCAACCAGTTTTCATTTATGATCACAGCAAGTCAGGTGTAGCAAGATTAGCCCTGAGTTAGTTGAGATGCAGATTGTTTTCCAGTGGATACCCACTAAAGAAAGGCTTCCACTCCTGAGTTGTAGAACCATTACTGAGGCAGAAAGCTCATGAAACTGGTTTGGAAGCGTTCAGCAACAACCGCAGCCGGTGTGGTACGTAATTCCCCAAAACCTCTCCAGTGCAGGATGTGTTAGTGCTTCCATTTAGCAAGGTTGTGTTATGCGGGGCGTGGTGTTCATTCATCATCACTCACACTAGGCTAAAATTTTGACAGTTGTTTCAGCCTTGGGGAAAGATCCAATAAACTTGAAAGCGGTCTCTTTGGCTGTTTTGAAGAGACATGTACATTGTTTATATACATTGTCTTGACAGTAGCATATCAGAAGTTTTTCCAGGAAAAAATGTCTTCAGAGAAGCTGCAAATCTACACATAATATTGTGATGAATTCTGGATTTGTTTCTCATGTAAACAGCCTGGCTTTTAAAAACATGTAAACTGCTTATAGCAATTAACTGATAAGTACTTGAATCCAGGTGCCCTTTTCTAAAGGATCTTTAAGAAAAGCTTTGTCATGAGGAGAAAAATAAGAGGAATGTTTGTCAGATGATCACGACAAGTGAAAGACTCGTTAATATTAGCACTAGATGGACCAGATACAGAACCTTTTAGGACAAAGTATAGATCAAGCTAATAGGATTAACGGATGAAAGTTACTGTGAATTAACTGCAAAACAAGGAACAGGAAACTCAGAAACCTAGGGTAGGACTGTCAGAGTAGCTATGCAAACCAGAAAGGATTGGCACTTTTGTTTATGATAATGAAGTGCAATATTTGATTAAAACATAGGTGCAATATGGCTTTCTTGTTCTCAAACAACAAGCAAACAATCAAAAAGAAACAAACCCCTCAAAAAAACCAAACTAAAACAAAACCACCACACCTCAAAGGCCAGACTGGAAGAAGCTGAAACTGTACTGGTGTGAATGTGTGATTTTCTTTGTCCACATACCATGGCCCACTCACAATATAGACATCTCTGCTGGATCCTCTCTACACTTTTTAAAAGTACATTTCCTTAGCTGAGCATCAGGGTTCTTGGTAGGGAATTATTTCAGTGTAAAAACTACTTAATCTGATAATACTTATGTACAAAGGTTTCAGTCCTTTGTGTCTGGGAATTTGGTAAGCATCTCGCAGGACACAATCCCACATCAGATGGGATATCTCAGATGTTAATTAATAATAATATAACAGGCCCTGAACTCTTCCCAGTTCAGACTGTGTAGCTACTTAGCTACCCTACTGAATACTTTTTCAGAAGCTATGAATTTTATTTCAGAAAAATCCATGTGTCTACTGAGAATTTGAGCTCTGTTAAGCAGTGACGTAATTATGCCACAGAGATATTCTTTAGATGGATGAGACTGTCTGAGCCCAGAAAATATTCCTGGTTTATTATTTCAAATCTATTTTTCAATTATTGTCTTCCTGTTTGGAAAAGATCCTTTCTGGCAGTGATTCAGCCTTCTTAGGAATTTTTTATATCACATTAACTGGGAGTGGTTCCCAGGACATCAGATTTGCCATCATCTTTAAATCAAATGCTTCTGAAATCACTTGTGACAAGCAGCTCCGTGGGCCCCACTCTGCTGAAGAACTTTAGGAATGCTCAAAAGTTGGGATGTTTTTTTACCAAAAACAGATAAAATTGCTATTACTCTGTATGTACAATATTGTTTGCATAAGGCAGAAAGTGCAGAAAAGGATGTCAGCTTTTGCTGAGTGCTGAGCTGTCTGAATTGGAGATCTACCTTTGAGCCCTGTTCAATATTCACAGCCCTAAGATATACAAGTAGCTGTTCTTTTAATGTCTGCATTAAAGATCAGAATAGCTGTGGTTTGATGCCAACGTTACATTGCAGATACATTTGGAGTTTAATAATTTTCTTTTTCTTAAATTCCAGTCTTGAATGGAACTGATGGAACACCTCAGGGGTTAAATAATTGCTAGAGAGAGTCAGAGACAAGTGGACAGCCAATAATGAAAATCATAAAAAGAGAATGAGCACTAACTGTGTTTTTCCTTCTCAGTTCAATATTGGTTTTGTTGCTGCAAATCAAGCATCAGTTCTGTGTTTCCTCCCTCATTAAGTTTTCTCCCTTGAATAGGCTTATCTTGTAATGACCTTTCATTTTCCCTTTTTCCAGAGCCTCTTTTTTTGCCTGATAGGTCTAAATCTGCTGTGCAAAAAATACCAAATCACATTAGTCTCCCTGTCTGGTTGATGCTGCCCTCTAAGGAGCAGGAATCAATAGCAGAGACAGTAGCTGAGTAAGAGAAGTGCAGGTTTTTTGCATATGAAAAGTGAGTGCATCGCCAAACTAACAGCACACTGTGTCCTCTTCTCTAGACTTGTATTGCTCAAATTCCTGGACAGGAATTTTTCTTGATGATAATGAAAGATAAATAGTAGTGCCCACAAACAACACTGTCTCTATGAATAGCTACCTTTCCTGACCTTCCCTAAAATCAAACCCAGATACTGCACTACTAAGGCAGGAACAAATGAGAACATTAAATTTAAATGATGCAACTTTACGTGTGGAAGGACTGGGTGTTAGATCTGGCTGTCTGGTAGTTGTCAGGTACTTTAATCCCTACACTTGGTCATCTCATATAAATACTTCTAAATACTAAGCCTGTCTAATCATATTGAATGTGAACCAGAAATACGTTCTTATTCATCTCAATAGACATAAGGAAAGGTTGACTTTAGTAATGTCATAGTCTCAGGTATAATGAAGTGGGAAATGGGTTTGATTATATTCTACAAGTCAGCTACAGAGTAAACAGATACTTTGCATGTATAACATCACAAGTGGATAAGGAATATTTTGTGGAAAAGGATTTGAGGTTAATTTGTTTGGAAAACCAGATACAATTTTAAAGACTTTTACAATTCACTACTTGTCACTTTTAAGGGTTATTTTCTAGGATTAGTTATTTTTTGATTAAAAAAAGCCTGATGTGAATTTTGCATGCTTAGTTTCTGAGGCAAGGAAGTTAATATATTGGTTGCTTTGACCTCCTAAGGAGAAGAAATCACGTTAATATTTGTGCCTTGATTTATCCTGTCCTTATAAGCCTGAAATCTGATCAGCTTTGTTTATTAAGGGTATCAATGTATTTGAGAGAATGAATGGCTCAGTAGATTTGGATTTGGGTAACAAGATCTAGAGTATTTAGCATCTTAACATGAATAGTTCAAATTCAGCTCGAGTTCTCTGTTCCAGTGTAGCTTCTGAAGTCAGATGTTTGAATTAAGCTAATGGTCCCAGATGTGGCTTTAGAAAGCTCTCTCTATTAATGCCCATATCAGCAGTGTCAGGAAAAAGGCCAAGGAATGAAATGGCAGGTTGAAAACTGTTGTTCATTGTCTAAATTAATCCCTAAAAATGGAGCAATTGAGAAATATACCTTTGACAAAATGAGGAGGCAGCAGGTTTACACAAATATCTGACTGAAGTGTGACATTCATTGCCTTGGACTGTTAGATAGATGGGGTTTTAAAAAGGTGTTGAGCAAATTACGGAGAATAGATAGATTGTGACACAGCCTCTAGCTTGGGAGGTCTTTAAACCACTGATTCCTGAATGGGAAGGTGTGAAGAGGAAAGGCTGTTCCGTGTGGTCTTGTTTCTTACAAGCTTTTACCCCAAGTAGTCACTGCTGGCCCTGTTGAGGGCAGGATGCTGTACTAGATAGACCTCTGGACTGAAGAAGTATGGCAGATCTTACATCCTCATCACTATTGTCACACCATGAGGGTGATGTTGTATTGTAACAGGTGAACTAGAAGAGAAATGTCAGTGGCCTGTGAACAAATGACGAGTGCTCACAAAGCAGTGCAATGCCATGGTCTCTCATTTCCCTTTTTTATTTCTGTTTAGGCAGGTGACAAGCATTATCATCCAAGCTGTGCACGATGCAGCAGGTGCAACCAAATGTTCACAGAAGGAGAAGAAATGTATCTGCAAGGTAAGGATGTCTCCATCCCAAAACAAGAAAATCTGACTTTGTAATTTTTCTGTCACAGACCTCAGGAGTTGATAAAGCATCTCCATGTAATATGGACAAGGAGAACTACAGCCATCTTATCTTCATTACAGTACTCTTACACTTTTTCACTTGAAACCCTTTCATCCTAGCAGGTGGTCACAATGCTGGCTTTGCAGTGACTCTGCACCCTAGCTGAGGCAGACTGTGTTTTCAAAAGCTGTGTAGCAAAAATGAAATTTCTTAGGCTGCCCCTGAATTTGGCATCTCACGGATAGCTTAGCACACAGACTAGTATATGAGATACGAGACAAAGTTAGAGGGTTTCCCCTGAATTCTGATGATCTTTTTCTCTGCTCTTCTGGACCACACTCCAAACTGTAAAAGGCGATGCAAAAAATTACAAAGACTGCAGTGAGCTTGTTTTGAATCATGGAGATCTCATTCTCCATACACACTGAGAGATTGTCTCCTCCAGTTCTTAATCATATTTGCTTGCCTTGCCTATTTCCCCTTTATCCGGTCATGTCTCTCTTCTTATTCCCATTTACTTTATTTTTATGTCTTTCTACAGTCACTTTTTTTTTTGTATGTTAATTTTCACCTCCTCTTTCTTATTAACAGTCTCACACTTCAGGTATTGCCCAGCATTTTTTTTTTTCCATGATCCTTTCACATAAAAAGCAAGATGCTCTTTTCTTTCATTGGAAAGTATTCTTGATATGAAATCCACCTACTCTCCCAGAAGGTAGCACTTTATTAAACTACAGTTATGTTTATTACTTGCTGTAGTATTAATTAATGTTGGCAGAAAGACGTATAATATTCATTTATGGAAGCCAGAAATCAAAATGAAAAAGGCTGATACATACTGGGATTTTGTATATTGTACTTATGTACTGCTTGATATACCTGAAAGGACTGCAAAAGAGTAAGAAAGAAATGATGAAAGTATAGTGGCAGCCATCTCTTGAAATCCTGAGGAGAGATTCCTTCTGGAGGAATTCCAAAATAAGATAATATTGTTAAGGAATTCCTTTGAAGCTAACTTGTGTTACTTTGTAGTTTATCCTCCCTTGCAGTCCATCTCTTCCATCTCTCACTGACCTTATACCTTAGTCATCCTATTCCAGCTGTGCACAGAGCTGGATATTGAGTTGTGTAGCAGCCCTGCATTGCACGAGCAAGGAGGGCTGGGTAGGAAGTACTGCTTTCTGATGGCAAATTACAAGACTAATTTGAAAGCAGAGGTTAACACATCTGACAACTGGTAATCTTCGTAGTTTCCTCACGTCATAGTGTGATAAAGTACAGACAGAGTTCAAGGGTGAGCATCAGTTCATCCTTTGCTGTTATTAGTAACAGCTGTTTGCAATTGATGCCATTTGCACCAATCTAGCAGGGAGTTGGAATTCATGTTCATTGGGCATGCTGTGGTGTAAATTCCTGCAGATCCAAGTAAGAGAGAGGGTATTGCTTCTTCTTAAACAAGGCTAGATTTTGGTGTGGCCAAATTCAGGTGATATGAAAGAGGAGAACAGAGACACCTGGCTCCTTGATCTTCCATCATTCTCTTCTTGGCTCTATCTCCCTTTCTGTGGTTGTGAATGAGTGTTCTTCATGCTCACTCTGTCTCAGAGGAGGAGCAGCCCAAGTTGTGTTGCTTTATTGTTCACAAGCTGTTTTCTGACTAAATAATGTTATTGCTGAGTGTGCTCCAGACTGTACTGCCAAAGCTTTCCTTGCTGAATTCAGCATGCTTGCAAGTGTAAGGGATCTAAAAGCCTTTCCTGTATAAAGCTCTCAAATGAAATGTGTATCCTGACTCCATCCAAATTGCTTACTCGAAGGCCCAGAATAACAGCATTCCAAGCATTTCTCTGAAATAAAAATACAACACCACAACACTAAAGCTAGAACCAAAACTGCATTATTGATAAAATATATGAAAATAGGCGACTTCTCATTTCTAATTTTCCTCCCTGCAGGACATGAAAGCACTGTGTTAGTATTGCTTTGTATAATAGAGAAGCCTGGCAGGTTTGTGGTAGTTACTTGTATTAAAGTGTAGGAAACCTGCAAAAGGAAAACATGGAAAAACAAGCCCTCTATTTTGGGGCTTTCTGTAGAATCATAGAATCATTTTGATTGGAAAAGATCTTTAAGATCCTTGAGTCCAACTGTAAAACCAACACTGCCAATTCCACCTCTAAACCATGTCCCTACGCAGCACATCTACATGCCTTTTAAATACCTCCAGGGATGATCACTCAACCACTTCCCTTGGCAGCCTGTTCCAATGCCAGACAACCCTTTTGGTGAAGAAATTTTTCCTAATATCCAATCTAAACCTCCCCTGATGCATCTTGAGGCCATTTTATATCTTGTCCTATTGCTTCTTACTTGGAAGAAGAGACTGACCCCCACCTTGTTACATTCTCCTTTCAGGTAGCTGTAGATGTTAGTGCTAGCAGAAGCACTCTGGCTTTGCCCTGCTCCCTTACAGGAAAATGGAAAGGAAGCAGCATCAGAAACTCTTTCTTTCCCATTGAATTCCTAGTAATACATTACTATATAGACTGTCCCAGAAGTCTGTTGCTGAGTTAGAAGGTTGCTTAGCATCTAGGGGGAGGCTTCGCTTGATTCTCACACAGGCTTTTAGCCTTATTCAGTGTGTAAATAATAGCCCAAGTTACTGATTTTTAAAGAGCTGTATGTTGAAACAATACTTTTTGCAAAGCAAAAAGCTGAATAAATGAACGTGTCTGCCAAGTGAGCCAACAAACATATGTGAAGAATGGAAATAACTACCATATGATGAACTGTTTCTGGTAGGAAAAAGAGTGGCAATGCAGTTTGAGCATTTGCACTGTTCCAAGCATTTCAAAATAGATTGTCATGTTTGGATGAATAAAATCTACAAATTGTAGGTGGCTTACAGTTCAAGATAATGAAAAATATTTACATTTAACTTCTTAAGCCTGCTTTGTCTGATTTGAGTTTTTAAATTTCACATATTTCAAACCTCTTACCATTTTGTGAAAGAAAACTCACAACTGTTAGCTACGTTTCACCATGAAAATGGCATCCAGACTCTCTTGCTTTTCTTTTTTACTTTCAGCAGCTCCAACATTCTTCTGAGGTGTCCCTGAAATTGTGCCAGTTTGTGCTAAATACTGCCTGAAAATGCAGTGACAGCTTTTCCTTTGATGGTGAGGATGGTTTAATAGAAAAGAAACTGAGGAACAGAGTTAATTTTTCTCAGGGTTGCACAGGAAGCTCACGGCTGAATTTGAGAACTGAATCTAAACCTTCCAAGTCTTAGTTCACCAGCCTTATAACATGAACTCCCTTCATCCTGAGTGCTTGGATCTGTCTGTCCTCCTAAGCAAATGCACAGGGTATGCTTCTCTCCCGCTCTCGCAGGCTCTGTGGGGTCCTGGCTCTGAGGCTGCTGTTTGTTTACAGAGAAGGCTGTTGGTACGCTTCTCCCTGTTGACCAATCGTTTCCCTCTGCCAAATGCACAGTTTCTTCTTCCTTGGCTTAGACTCAAAGCCAGACATCTCAGAACCCTGATCCAGAGTCTCACAGTGTTCTCTCCAGTCTCCTGATGATGATT